GGTCACAGGGGTGACAGGTGTAGGTGTGACAGGTGTGACAGGGATCACAGGGGTCACAGGTGTGATGGGCGTGACAGGTATGACACGTGTGACAGGTGTGACAGGTGTCACAGGGGTGACAGGTGTAGGTGTGACAGGTGTGTCAGGTGTCACAGGTGTATCAGGGGTCACAGGTGTCCAGCTCCAGGTGGTTCCAGTGGCCCCAGAGGTCCCCAATGTCCAGGTGCAAGGCAGGGATGTGACAGCGGTGACAGGTGTAGGTGTGTCAGGTGTCACAGGTGTCACAGGTGTCACAGGTGTCACAGGTGTCACAGGTGTCACAGGTGTGTCAGGTGTCACAGGTGTCACAGGGGTACAGCTGCAGGTGCTGCCAGTGCCCTCGGACATCACCAATGTCCAGCTCCGGGTGTTGCCAGCACCACCTGAGGTCCCCAGTGTCCATCTCCAGGCCACCGAGGTCCCCAATGTCCATCTCCAGGCCACCGAGGTGACCAATGTCCAGCTCCAGGCCACCGAGGTCCCCAATGTCCATCTCCAGGCCCTGCCGCTCCCCTCAGGTGTCACCAATGTCCAGCTCCAGGTGTTGCCACCACCCTCAGGTGGCACCGGTGTCCAGCTCCAGGCCACTGAGTTGACCAGTGCCCAGCTCCAGGTGCTGCCACCACCACCTGAGGTGACCGGTGTCCACCTCCAGGCCACCGAGATGACCAGCATCCACCTGGAGCCCATGGAGGAGGTGCCCAGTGTCCACCTGGAGACCGTGGAGGTGACCGATGTCCACCTGGAGGCCTCAGAGCTGCCCAGCGTCCACCTGGAGACCATGGAGGAGGTGCCCAGCGCCCACCTGGAGACCTCAGAGGTCCCCTCTGACCACCTGGAGGTGACCAGCACCCACCTGGAGCCCTGCGAGGTGACCAATGTCCACCTGGAGACCTCAGAGGTCCCCTCTGACCACCTGGAGGTGACCAGTGCCCACCTGGACACCTTGGAGATGACCGATGTCCACCTGGAGGTGCCCAGTGCCCACCTGGAGCCCTGTGAGGTGACCGATGTCCACCTGGAGGTGTCTGGTCTGCACCTGGACACATCAAAGGTGCCCGGTGCCCACCTGGAGCCCACAGAGGTGCACCTGGACCCGCCCTAGGAGGTGCCCAGGGCCCACCTGGACACACCTTGGAGATGACCAGTGTCCACCTGGAGGTGTCCAGGGCCCACCTGGAGGTGTCCAGGTCTCACCTGGAGGTGTCCAGGGCCCACCTGGAGGTGTCCAGGGCCCACCTGGAGGTGTCCAGGTCTCACCTGGAGGTGCCCAGGTCTCACCTGGAGGTGTCCAGGACCCACCTGGAGGTGTCCAGGTCTCACCTGGAGGTGTCCAGGTCTCACCTGGAGGTGTCTAGGGCCCACCTGGGCATGTCAGAAGTGCCCAGTGTCCACCTGGACACACCTTGGAGGTGCCCTCTGACCACCTGGAGACATCAGAGCTGCTCAGGACCCACCTGGAGGTGCCCAGGGCCCACCTGGAGACCCCCAAGTGCCAGGGGGGGGCACCTGCACACCTGGGACTGCAGGTGGGCGGGGCCTGGGGGTACCTGGGGACACCTGGGGACACCTGAGGGGTACCTGGGGACACCTGAGGGGTACCTGAGGGGTGTCTGAGGGTACCTGGGGACACCTGGGGGGTACCTGAGGGGTGTCTGGGGGTACCTGGGGACACCTGAGGGGTGTCTGAGGGTACCTGGGGGTACCTGAGCTCACCTGGCCCAGGTGAGGCCGTTCCCGCCCCTCCCCCCGTGTCAATAAAGGCGCCCCTCCCCCCCCCAATGCGGTTTTGTTGCTTCCGGGAGGGGGCGGGGCCAAGGAGGGGGAGGGGCCAAGGGGTGGGGGGGCAGTTTGTCTCCCAGTATGGCACCAGTAACCCCCAGTATGGCCCCAGTAACCGCCAGTATGACACCAGTATGGCTCCAGTGTTCCCAGTATAGCCCAGTCCATCCCAGTATGGCACCAGTGATTCCCAGTATGGCCCCAGTAACCCCCAGTATGACACCAGTGATCCCCAGTATGGCCCCAGTAACCCCCAGTAACCCCCAGTATGGCCCCAGTAACCCCCAGTATGGCACCAGTGACCCCCAGTATGACACCAGTATGGCTCCAGTGTTCCCAGTATGGCCCCAGTATGGCCCAGTCCATCCCAGTATGGTCCCAGTGATCCCCAGTATGGCACCAGTGATTCCCAGTATGGCCCCAGTAACCCCCAGTATGGCCCCAGTGTTCCCAGTATGGTCCCACGGATTCCCAGTATGGCCCCAGTCGTTCCCAGTATGGCCCCAGTAACCCCCAGTATGGCCTCAGTATAGCCCAGTCCATCCCAGTATGGCCCCAGTGTTCCCAGTATGGCCCCAGTAAGCCCCAGTAACCCCCAGTATGGTCCCACGGATTCCCCAGTATGGCCCCAGTGTTCCCCAGTATGGCCCTGGTGATTCCCAGTATGGCCCCAGTATAACCCAGTACATCCCAGTATGGCCCCAGTATTCCCCAGTATGGCCCAGTCCCCTCACAGTACACTGAAATCCCCTCCCAGTCCCTCCCAGTATATCCCAGTATATACCAGTGCCCCCCTCAATCTCCTCCCAGTCCCCTCACACCCATTCCCAGTGCCTCCCAGTATATCCCAGTGCTCCCAAACCCCCTCCCAGTCCTTCCCAGTCCCTCCCAGTATATCCCAGTCCATCCCAGTGCTCCCAAATCCCCTCCCAGTATATCCCAGTATATCCCAGTGCTCCCAAATTCCCTCCCAGTACATCCCAGTGATCCCAGACCTCCTCCCAGTTCCCTCGGCTCCCTTCCCAGTTCCCCCCAGTTCCCCCCAGTGCCCCCAGCCCCACCTCCTCGCACAGGTGGTCCCACATCCCCAGCACGGGTTTCCTGTAGATCCCCGGCCCCGTGGCCACCAGCACCTGAACCGAGAGGGGCGGGGGGCTCAAACCAAGCCCTGCAGGGGGGATCCCCGAGTTTGGGGAGGGGGTTTTGGGGGTCCCCCCACACCTGCAGGGCCACCCCGAGCTGCTGCGTCACCGCCTCCACCTTGGCCTGGAAGATCTCGGGGCGCAGCCGCCCCCGGGAGATCCCCAACTGGTTGGTGAACACCACGAGCTGGGGGGAGGCAGAAAAGGGGGTTCGGGGGGGTCACCCCAATGTTTGGGGGGGTTTTGGGGAGTCGGGGAGGGGGATTGGGGGGGATCTGGTGGGGTCTGGGGGAGCCCCGAGGGGTTTGGGGGAGCTCTGGGTGCTCGGTGGGGTGATGGGGAGGAACCTGGGGGGGTCCCCGAGAGGTTTTCGGGGGGGTTTGGGGGGTACTGGGATGCCCTGGGGGGAGGAAAAGGGATTTGGGGGGGGGGTCTTAAAGGGTTTGGGGGGTTCCCAAGGTGGAATTTTGGGGAGGGGTCTCACCTTGTACCCCTCATTCTGCAGCTGCTTCAGCTTCTTGGGGATCTCAGGGTACAAAATCC